TAACCTAATAGGATCACAACTAATGCCATCCATTTTCTGTGTTGATCAGTTAGGAGTTATTAGCTCAACTATATGACAGTTCTAAAGAATTAAACATGCAATTTTATTTAGACTATAGAAATAGTTGTTTTAAATCAAATGCACACATACATCAGTGACCAGCATTCTGCACCACGCTTTAATAGGAATTTTAATGGTTATTCACGAACATTTGGGGTGATCTTAGCCGACACATTGCCTTTCAGATCGTGTTCCAAACTTTTTTTTTTTTTTTTGTGGCAAAGGCATTAAATTACTGTGATGAATGTATGAATCCCTGTCCTGCACCCATACCCATCATTTCTCTTTTACCCTTCCACTTTGCTTTAAGATGTTCTGTCCTTGAACACAAGGTAGATCTACTTTAGGTGCCTCGTGTGAGAGATAATCCTGGATTTTAGCTCTGCAGTTAAAAACATTTTGAGAGAGTTTGGGTGCAGAATAGGACCCAAAATGAAAGATATGCAAGCGAGGGAGGGCGGATGATAGAGAAACAATAATTAGCTTTGCTTCACTGGTAAACAAATGGAAAAAAAAAAAAAGCTGTTCTGGCAAAATCCAAAGGCTGAAATTAGAATTCAGTACTGTCTTGAAAGCCAAATAAAATTCAAAGCAACAACATTTAGACCCAAAATGACAAACTGCAAAGAAGATATTGATAGAGGTTATAGAAACACACTATTCTTCCAAACAGCAGAACATTCAAGAAGAGACGACGAGGTCCAAGAGACAATAACACATTTCATTAGCAGAGACAACAAGGCCGAACGGTAAATAATTTATTTGATGTCTTTTACCCAATTGTATTTAATGCAATCAAAAAGCATTAAAAGTGGAAAACAAAACCCTGTCCTTCATATGATTTAAAGGTTTTCCCCAGTTCCTGTTTCCACAAACATATTCAGATATGTATGGTCTCTTTTAAAAGTATCCATACTTTTAAGAGATTTGAAATGCTCTTAAAAGTATTCATCTCTTTTAAAAGAGTATTTGCATTTTGTCAAGTTACAGCTTCATGTGTTATTGCATTTTATTGAAGGTTTTAATGGGTAACCCAACACAAAGCAGCTCATAGTTGTGAAGTGGAAGGAAAATACATATTTGTATTTTTTTTTTGTTTACAAATAAATATAACTGAAAAGTGTGGCATGAATTTGCACTTTTGCATTCACCTGCCTTTACTATAATCCCCCTAGATAAAGTCAAATGCAAACAATTGCCTTTAGTTAACGATAAATTAAGTCCATCTGTGTTTATTCTCACCTTCGTCTGAATCGAGACGTTCTGTGAAAGGCCCAGAGATTTGTTAGACAACTTTGATAAATAAACATCTTGCATCAGAAAAACCACTGAACACCGTTTGTGATTAGGGGACACAGTTGACATGTTAAAAATCTGTCCTCTTGTTCGATGCACACAAAGTTAAACTTTTTTGGCCTGCAAGTCAAGTTTTATGCATGACTGAAAACTAGCATTTAATTTCTTTATTTATTTATTTATTTAAGTTTATTTGATAGGGACAGACACACATCGACATAGACAAACTGAAGAGAATCGTAGTGCCATGTTTGCGCCACAGTGCTTATAGTTAATCCGCAGCACTTGTCCCTAGATGGGTGTTTTTCAACCTAAACACATCATCCCACTTTGAAACATGGAACATGGTGGGGACAGTGTCATTCTGCAGGAAGACATTTCCTCTGGAGAGAGCTAAAAACAGAAAAATTATTGAAGAAAACCTATTTTAAGCTGCAAAATACATAAGACTGAAGCTAAAGGCCACCTTCTGGCAGGAGAGCAAGTTAAAACACCCAACCAGATCTACAAAAGAGTGGTTTAGATCAAACCATTTCCATTTGTTTAAATAGCCAATCAGTCTGGATCTAAAAAATGTTGAAGATAAGTGATGAGGCAAACAGTGAAAGTTTTTTGTTCACCTTCACACCATCCCATTTATGATTGGTTCTGCACAGGATTGACTCTGTTGTATAGGTAAACTTTATGGCATTTTTTCTTCCACTTGACTATTATGTGCTACTTTGTGTGGATCTATTGTATTACATCCCAAAGCAGAACATTTAATTTTATGGTTGTACTAGCATAGAATATTAAAAAAAACCTAAAGGATTATGTGTTTGCAAGGCATTGTATCTTCTTAATATTTTGAAATGAATGTTTTATTTCTCAATAAAGGATTCAACTGTGTTGTCACACTGAAGAAGCCTTAAAATGTAACCTGATTACTTGCATAGCCACACTGACCACTGTGATAAAAACTGGGAAAAAAAAACAAAACAAAAAAAAAAAAACATTTTTGAGCCAGAAAGGCAGCGATAGTAAACGACCAGGTGGCAGACATGTTAGTTGCGTGACAAAATGCGTTGGTGCTGCTGCCACTGAAAGCCTCTCTTTATTATACAGAGATTTGTTTCCCACTTTCTTCTGTCTCACACACAGAGATAACTGCACATGCAGCACTGTGTCAAGATGTGACAAACGAGCTGTGTGCGCATGTGACTGTGTCTCTCCATGTCTTCTGGCAGATTTTATGTCATTCATATCACTGAGAATTAGGATTAAGTTACCTTATTCTCACACACACACACACACACACCAATCTTATGCACAGCACTACCACTACTTGAGTGTGAACAGGCAGACAGCACGGCTACCACACCAAGCTGGCACCTCTTCCTGGACTGCTGACTCCAACAACTGACTGAGCTAATGACAATGATGATTCAGGGTGACGCAGTAACTGGACAGCTTAGGTTCTTCCTAGATGATTTTAGATGGTTTTCCTTTTGAGCTGTCTGGAAAATAACCAAAATGTTATCATCCTGTAGGGACCCGTAGCAAACTAAAAAATTAGCTCATCCAATGTAATTTTGCAATATAGAACTTAGTGTCAATTGGTAAAGCTTCCAATTTTGGAATTTCACAAAAATATACATATATTTATGCATTCATGCTAGAGAGAAGAGCTAAATAGTGTGCAAAGGTTTTAAGGACATCTTTATAGAATCCTGTTCTCCACTGAGAGAAAATGATCCAAGGAGGCTGTGCTATAAAGCAGATTACGTTTAGTTACTGGATATTCAGTTATGTGTCTGGCTCACAACTTGAAGGGCAAAAAGCAAATGCCTTTGCTTAGAGAACAGTCTGTATCACAGCAAGAACTGTCTTATTTTGCCATCTATTTTGGGCACCCCTGTTTTATAGCCCAATTCTGCTCTGAACTTCTCCACAGCAGGGATGAAGATGGACACACTTTTCAGACATAATTAGTGAAAAATTCTGAAAACCACGCATGATGTTCTTTGCATTTCACGCCTATGTGCCATTTTGTGTTGGTCCTACATCTAAAATCCTACTAAAACACAAATTCATGGATCAAAATGTGACGAGTGTGGAAACATTCTAGGGGTATGACTACCTCGTAATACATTGTAAAAACTGGCACGCACATCTTAAAGATCCAGTTCCCCTCTAGGACTTAGGCAAAAACAAACAGTAAACAAACCCTGACTGGCTTGACACACCGAATTTCACCAAGTTCTTATCTAACTGCATTGCCAAAGAGTATCCAAATATATATATATATATATATATATATATATATATATATATATATATATATATATATATATAACTTAAATGCACACTGAATAAAAGGGATATTAATGCAGGTCATATGATGCAGATCACACCCACTTGCTGTGATCATTCACGTTAATGGCATTGTGTAACATGCGAAAAAAAATTAATAAATAAATCCTAGATGAATTCCTGCCAGCATAACAAAGGAAAGCAGGTGGAACACTCAGCCAGAATCTCCAGACAAATACCTTCATGGTGCGCTCGGCAATCTGCAGGACTCCATGAATCCCACCCTCATCTTGAATGCATGAGGCATCAAAATGTATGTGCAGACACTGGAGCAAGTGGACTCCACAAAGGGAAATCGATATCCAACCCCCAGCCCCCAATATGTAAATGAGATGTGACTGAAGCCAGCATGCTCTAAGTGAGAAATCCATCTTGTGTGAGCTAACCAAATATCCATTCAGAGGGAGCAATTTGACCTCAGACGGGGTAAATTACAGGCTTTTTTTTTTTTTTACATTAGATTCACAATGGTCAAAAGTCATATTTTATTTCAGAATGAAATAGACTATGTTGACAATAGTAGGCTATATATTACTGATGTTTAACATGGAATGGGAAATATCAATAGCAGAAATGCAGATTATTGGGATGTGTGATCAATCAGGGGGCACGCCAATATGACTCAGCACTGGTGTTTGCAGCCATCTCCCTTTCTCTCTTCTCTGTCATTAGAAAAAATAAATAAATAGCAAGCAACTATATTTAAGCACTTGTTTTTAACATCCATATTCATTTTATACTGTATGTTTGTGTAGCTATATAGTCTCTGGAACCTGATGGTCATTCAGTGGCACCGCAGCCAGCCAAGTTCCTGCAGGCACCGCAGTAGGTGAAGCCTTTCCAAAGCCCAATGCAGACATTTTTTTTTTTTTTTAATCATTTAATTTTCTCACATAGAAACAGTACGTATAATTGGACCAATAAGACACAGGACAATTAGGTCAATCAGCAGGTCTCTCCCTCCACAGAATCTGGGTTTCTAGATCTGTTGCTCAGCAGTGATTTCACATCAGATTAAAGCCGCAGAATCGTCCCTTTAAAAGCTGAATGGCACCACAGAACTACACACATACACTCACAAGAACCGAGATCCAGTTCTGTTATGCACGAACAATGCCTAATTTCCCCCCCCCACCTCATCAAAGAGGTTGAGCTCCTTAAAACATTCACTTATTGTCTGATGATAAGATTGCCTCAATGTCAATGTCTTAGGCTTTTTAATTGAGCTACAGATTGTGTTTTCTGCTGCATTACAACGCCGGTAGTGAGTAAAAGAAGTATAAAATCTTTACCTGTTCGGCTCGGCGTCTTCCAGTAAAACACCGGTCTGTCTGACACAGAAGCAACGCAGCCTTTCAGTTACCGTAATACCGGAACTAGGCGTGCCGGTTCCTGTTTATACAGGTTACTACGGTGCTCTGGAGGAGCCATTCTTGCTAGAAACTACCATAGTGGTTGAATCAAAATATGTCTGCATTGTCATTCATTTTCGGTAGTATGAGGGGAAAACAGAGTAAATAGTAAAAAAATTAATGTAAATTAATGCTAGAAAGACAGCTATCACCGCCTGCCGACTCAGCTCCATGCACCAATAAAATGTGATAATGCTGACAGTCACCGTAAACATTTTTATGACCATAAAAAGTGTCACTTCTTTTCGGCAGGTGCGTCATAGCGTCGTTGATAGTGGGGGGAAAAAAAGACAACTGAAGTGTAGCTGTTTGTCTTATGAAATTTAATGATGATGATGGTTGAAACTTTTTTTTTATCATGTTGAAATAATACTGACAAAATATAGCAAATCAAACGGCACATGACAATAAATAAATAAATTTATTTTTTTAATTTTGAAAAATATTCCTTAATTGAGCCCTATATAAGATCAAAACAGTAAAGTAATGCATTTAGTGCACCGTTAAAAAATAATGAAAGGAGACATTTTATTGACAGTTCTTTCTTTATTGCTTTTTAATATTATTATTTTGACAAAGTAATCCAAAACTATTCTGCTGCACTGTTTTTACTATAAATATGGTGACTTAGAGGCGCATCAAAAAATATCTTGACTTTCTGATGTGATGCAAGTCCATGGCAAATGGTAAGCTATTTTTTTCAAACTTTGATAGAAGGACGCCCTCTAGTGTGTAACTATAAAAATACATAAAAATAGTAAAAGCAGACTGAGCCTATTTTAAAACCTATTATTAAATGTTAAATCCTTTTTAGTTAAGTCAAATAAGCTAAATATATCCAGTAAGATTAAAGTGTAACCTTACTTAACCTTTAATGTTATTAGATTCATTTTGTTTTGCCTCTTATTTGAGAAGCAATAGGCCCCTCTTGTGGCCAGCAGTGATTCTTTGCCTTTTATTTGAGACTAATTAGGTGATTTGTTTTACAGATGCAGCTAGAGACGAGATGAACTTAAGATGTAAAACCTTGGTCTTTTTAACCTTTCATCACAAGACCTGCTCTGTCCGTCATAACTCCTAACACAAGTTAGCACTAGAGCTAAATGAAACTACGAATCCTTCACAGGGAGATTTGAAGGATCAATTAAACTGTAAAATGTGCAGACTTGATAAGTGTATTTAAAGCACATTCTCAGATCACTATAAACTTCAAATGGGACATCATTAATGAAAATAAATAGTTGCCCTTGACATTTGACCAGATTCACATGCACACACCAGGAATCAGCCATGTCTGCATTACTAAAAAAAATACTTAGATGAAACTGAGTTTATGACATCAAAGGTCATGTACCAAGTCCTTGGTATGAAGTTAGACACATAAATTAATTTAAGTTAGAGGGGTGACCTCAGCCATCTGCACATCTGGCCTCTCATTGGTTGTCAAGGAAATTATAAGTGGGCATTATGCATTCAAGACTGAAGCACAAGCTGCTTCTCTCCAACTGTGGCCCAAAGAGCAGTGACTTTGATACATGTTAGTTATATCTTAACACTACATGAACTCACAGTATTTGATGCAACTATTAGCTTTTATGCAATAAATTAAAACATATTTTAAATGGTGGTAGCATATACTTCATACAAAAACATGAAAAATAAGATCAGACCTTTGAAAACAGTTGATGTTTCCTGTAATGTGTAATTACAGTGGAGATCTAATAAAAACAAACAGCTTGAAATGTACAGAAGGGAGTGCCATATTCTACTATATTCTATAATTGTGCATTCTTTTCCCCAATTTAATTTTATTATAAAATATATTTTGGCCTTACATCTTAGCTGATGCCATAAATGTTTTCCACAAACTATCTTTTTTAGGTATAGCACAATGAATAAGGGATATTTGAATCTAATCATTGCAGAATGTTTGCAGATTTTTTTAATGTACATACTGCACTTGTTCAGTCACATATTTTCAGATTACTGAAATGCCGATGGGTTGGTGGAAGAATGGTCAGACATGGTCAACAGTCATATGGACGAATTAGCTGATGGATTAAATAATGAACAGATGAATGATCAATATGCATCTTCTTCATAAAAATCAACATAAAAGTAAGCTGATTGAAGCAACTTATTTTTAGAAAAGCAGATGTTTCACAAATAGACAGTTGCCAGGAAATAAGTATGCATATTTTTTCCATACTCCGTCTTCTTTTTCCCATATTAAAACCTGCAAACTGCTCAAGTCAAATTCCATACTGTTCCAGGTCGTCAATAACAATAATGAGATTGTTTTATTATTCAAACAAAATGCATCTGTTGTGCTTAAAATGTATGAGCAACCTCTGAGAACCAGAAAAGAAACAAGCACATGAATCATGTAATAAAACATTAAACCCACAATGTTTACTAATATCAATATTTACTGTTTTCATTTAAAAAAAAAACTTTTGCAAGAATTACAGCACATATGAAAATAATAAAAAAAACATGTAAAAACAATCAAACAATCAGATTATATAAATAAATGGATCTACTTGGGTCTTTAAATCTGTACATTTTTAAGAGACATCTTTGAGAATAAATAGCGTGTGACAACTGTAAACTGCTGCTCTACATCACAACACAGACAGCTCCCACATTTACATTAAAACCCAAAACTGCAGCAAGAGCCGCAGATGTCATTTAAAACTGCTGTGGCACATCTCACAATACAAAACGACAATCGCATCAAAGTACTCAGATCAATACACTGAATGAAAAATTAGCATTGACTGTGTCCGGTATCCCTGCAAAGGTTTCCTGTGGACTTGTTTTGGCTTGTGGTCCCTGATGTAAGGAGAGCTGGGGAAAAAAAAGGAAATACTTAAAAAGTGAACTGGTTAAAAACCGTGTGTGTGTTGTTTCTCCATAATTAATTCTATGTTTCAGCTGTTCTATGAAATTACTTTTTTTTATAGACTTGAATGACATTATCTAGCACCAATTACAACATAGCTGTAAAGTAAAATACCGTACAGCAGAAATATCTGTAAACAATCAAACTGTAAGTTTTATATTTAACTACAAATGTATAATAATTAAAAATGTCACCTTACTTACCTATGAAGATGTCATCGCCGTAAACTCAGCTACCGCTGGATGCGCAGCTCTTGATCTGTCCACAAGGGGGCAGTGTAGTGCAGGCTGACTGAGTTGGGGACAGTTGGGAGTTGGAAGGCTTTGAAGAGAAGGAAAGGCTGCTTGATTCTGTCCACCCAGATGGGATTTTCACTTCATCAGATAGCAGAGTCGCTTCCTCACGCTCATCCAGAGGAAAGACTCGGGACTCCCAAGGTGCCTGAGGCTGCAGGAAACACAGAGCAAATAATGTGGTTTTTTTTTTTTGTCTGTTTGCCGACAACCACAAATCGTTTCCGTACGATTTATCAAATGCAGTAAATCGAGTGTGAGACACTGTCGTTTCTTTCAGCTATAAAAACAAATCCGCTAAATGCTTTCTCCAGACCAGTCCTTTCACTTAATGCACTCTTTGACGTCTGCTTGGTTTCGGTGAAGCTCGGGGGTTTCAGCGTTAATCGTGGTTTGTTTGGGTGCTGAAGTGCATGAGGCAGAGCTGTGGTGATGAGAAAGTTGATTAGAAAAGCCTGGATAAGTAGCAGCTTGTTTCCTCTCCAATCACAGCAAAGGAGAAGAGAGTCCTACAATCAAAGCAGGATCAGGGGAAACAAGCGGAGACAAGTATCTGCGGAGACTCTCAAGAAGCCATCGAGGCTTCACAGCTTGCCTAAGCCTGTCTGGAAAAGGCTGAGGATATTAGACTCATTACTGCTGATTTATATTCCTGTCCTGAGCCAAAGGGTAAATAACATCTTATCATTGATATGGATATTATAGAAAACACATTTCAAGTAATGTTGAGCATTAAAAAGAAAATGAGGAGTTTAAAAACAAACTGACTGCAGCCTTATTCAAAATAACAGCAATTTGTTCGTCCGACAGCGGCACAGGTTTGCTCTGCTCACTGATGAATCCTGGAATGAATAAAGGGCATAACAAGCAATTTAACTGTAAGGACAAAAACAAATACACATTAGTGGCAGAAAGGAAACAAGAATTTGTCTCAACCACTGACAAAACCCCCCCAAAAAAACCTGAATATACAATTTGAGATTTGTCCTTTCTCTGTGGAATACTGTTATATTCTCCATTTTCGTTGAAGAATCATCGTCGTTTCAGGACCAGAAGCTTAAGATCGTACCAGCCACTCCTCCACCCGCGGCTGCTCATCAGAATCCAGCTGAGCACAACCCCACTCCACTGAGCTCTCGTCTCCTGATGTGCACATCCCGCCCCCGCTGCTCGATAGCCTGCTGCCAGATCTGAAGAGGAGAGAGAGAGAAGAAAAACGTAAGCCATCCACAAGAAGAACATTTCTCTACGCTCGGCTTTCACGCGGATTGTTTCTACATAAAGATTTGCAAGCGAGTCCGTTTGTGTGCAGCCACCTTGTCGAACGTCTCCAGCACTTCCTCTTTTCCCAGGAAGTCCAGCGGCGTTTCTCCTTCTGCTCCAGAGCCTGGTGCCTCCGAGCAAAGACTTCGTCACAGAGATCCTCAATCTGCACACGACACAGAACACACTGAACGGTGAAATCAAGAATAACATTAGCATGTTTACGCCAGGAAGACTGAACTTTACCTTCTGGTTCTCCTCTCCCATTTTAGGAGTCAAACCCTGGATGTCGACCACTCGCCACCTAAATAAAAAGTAGAGACAGTTCATTACTGTTATAATTTATAAGATCGTCTTATTTCTACATTTTCTGAACGGTGGAAAAAGAAACTTACGTGTGTCTCTTCAGCCAATTCAAGTCAATACGATCAGTAAAATGAGCACTACGTTTAAACTGAACTTGTTTTAAACTCCTTGGACAGCACTTGGGTTGTTTACCTCGGCGTCAGGATATCTTTGTACTGCAGTTTTTCCACTTTAGAAAGAGGAGGAATGACGGGAATGACAATGTCATCGATGTTGTACACTCGGCCTCTGTGGTGTTTGCGAAGGAAGCCCTAAAATGAAGCAGAATATGTTATTGCATAAGCAGAGTTAACATTTACTAATGTTTACATATTACAGTGGGTTAGCATTTCTATTTGTTCGATCTTTTGTGTGTGAAGATAACAACGTCCCGCACGACATTTGCAGTTATTTCATCTGACATAAACCTGCATGTTTTCGAAAACAGGCCAATTATTCATTGGAAAGTCCCATTCAATGAACTGTATCCACCACGTCCTGCAGATATGAATCAGCAGCAGCAGAATTAGAAGCATAAGTATGCCGCAACCACAAATAACATGGCATTTAGGCAGCAATATGGAAAAAAATCTCTATAATTGACTTGCTGCATAATAAAAACCAGGACCTTCAGGGGTAAAAAAAAAAAAATGAGTGTTTGGACTCTTCCTGAAATGAGGAAGAGGGGCATTAAATAAAGAACAGTTGCTTTGATACTGATAATGAAGTTATTGACTTTGTGCTTCTTCTTGTCTTTCACTTCAGTTGTAATTTTCTTTGATAGGTTTAACAAAAAAAAGAAAGAAAAGATTTGTTGCATTCAAGAAGAAACTTAAGTATGAATTTTGCTTTCCTAACACTTGTTGGTAGCCAATAGTTAAGACTTTCGTCACTTACTTACTTACTTACAGATTGACACACAATTGAATGATACTGAGTATGTTACCCGTGAGCCCCGGCTGAGCGTGAACTGCCCATAGTTCTCCTCCAGCATGTCATTTGAACTGTCTCCAAGATCACACAGCTGGTACAAGACATCCTGATCATCTAGAAACAAACATATAACACACACTCTGAAAGTGAGACTATATCAAGGACATAGCTGCAGATAGCAGTGTAGCTCACAACTTAAAAAATGTGGTAAAAAAATATAACCAAGTACTGTAGATGCTAAATGATCAACAATGTATAGCCATGAGCTAATTTCATGTCACAAATTTGAACACATCTTTCAAACAAAAAAAAAATCCTCCTTTTCTAACTTAAAAGTGACAGAAAGCTGTTAGATATTTCACTAAATTGTATTTGTTACAGGCAAGACCACACGTTTAAAACCTGAGAAATCAGTATATTATTTTAAATAGTTTTTGTTTCAGTGGGAGTAATTCTTGTTTCACTTTTAAAACTGCAAAGCCTTAAATTATGTTATACATTGTGGTTTAAATACAGCAAGACCAAACTTTATCTTACTGTGGGAACTTTTTCAGTTCATCCAGTTACAGAGTAAGCAATGGAAGACATACTGAAACCCACCTTTAGTCAGCCTGCAGCGCCGTCCTCTCTTCCTTTTCCTCTTATTGGATCGTCTGCGCTGACTCCAAGCAGATCCTGGCGACCTGATTGGTGACACAGTCAAAACTCCCCTTTTCTGACGGCGCACATGCTGCTTGCATTTCCTACCTAGAAGTGCGCACACATGGCATAAATTAGAGTCTGTAATGTGTACTGTGGTTTTCATGCTGCTCTTCTAATACATTTTTTAGACCGGCAACAAATCAGTTTTTAGATTCATTTTTTTCTGATCACAACACTAGATTTTCATGTTACCTACATTTACCCCCACTATAGCGATTGTGTAAGGATTTACTTTTTTTTTTTTTTTTTTTTCAACTGACAGAGAAAATTTCAGAAGCCCTCAGCTGGAACAAAAGAGCCATAAATACTTTTAAGTTGTTATCTCTGAGATAATTAGAAAATTATCTCTGGAAAATAGAAGTTGTTGTCTTGTGATAACAAGATAATTGTTTGAGCTCATAAAGTGATAATGGCTTAAGAATGTGAATGTCTTCTTAACAGTTTAATAATCTTTGTTTGGGCTCCTTAAGATATTTCTTTGGCTTTGCGGTTTTAGATGCCAAGATGGTGTATTAATGGATGGCATGCAAACTACATGATCCATTCTAAATTCCCTTGCATCAATCTCCTACTCTTAGAGTGAAACTTTTCTTTAAAAAATAAACTAATTTCACTGTGATTTTTCATTAACGTGGTTCTAGTCCAACTCTACATGCAAATTGCAGTGAAGTTAGTCCCTATCTTTGATCATTTCACTCTACTCTATGCATCCATATGTATTTTTGTCAGGATTTTCTAAAGCATTAGTCCATAATGAGCTGCAGGAATTGATCGGAAGTTTCAAATGATCCTATTCAATTTCAGCTTCAATGATAACGGTATATTTATGTCGGGCTGTAATTTTGGGTAATTTACCATTGACAGACTGCCTTCCGCTGCTATTGACTAAAGAGAATAGGATCATTAAAACAGACATGAAATCATCCATGAGCATGTGACGTTTTAAGCTACTGTATATTCAATCAGGTTCCTTTGTGCCTACTAGTTGCACTCTTTCACCTCCGTTTTGTCCTGTCTTTACTGCCCCACGATACACTAAAACCAACCGTGGCGATATTAAAATCCCGTGGTGATCTTAGGAAGTAAAAGCAGAAATAAAATCCTAATTTATAGAAACTACAGAAGCACATAGACATATTCGAACATATGATATGATATGTGATATGTCACACAATTTCATGCAGGTCCAGTGGGACATCTGACATGAATAAAAACAAGGGTGGAGCTGAGACAGATCCAAGTTTAAATATCAAGTTATTACAGTTAGGTCATATTCATTATTTAGGCAGGCATGGCAGTACTGTGGCATATGCACAGGAATTTAAGTACCTCAACTTTACAATAAACATAAGTTTATAAAGTTATTTTTAGCGCAGTAAGAAGAGCCACACGGCTCACTGTTGTTCTCCTGTACTTCTGTAATTTCCCCTGGCATGCTCTGCCTCAACTTTTTATTTGATTCTTGACTGACACTGATCCATTCTTGTCTTGTTACTGCTGGATGTCGGTTTCTGCTCCTCCCACTTGACTTTTGAGAATTTGACCATAATCTCCTAAAGGAGTTCAAATCTGGGAAATTTTCTCTTCCAACATTCTATTGTTATGTTCTCTGAGCAACTCTGTTGCCCAGTTCATCTGAGCCAGTGTTTGTGGCAGAATCTATAGTAACCCACAATCCCAGAATTGGACTGTATTGGAATCCAGTCAGAACTTCAAGTATTTCTAATAAAAGAAAAAAAGTGGCTTATTTGCTGTTCGTCTTGTCATAAAGTCATCAGTGTAAAAAAAAAAAAAAAAAAAAATTAATCTCACTGTGGGTAAAGATGCACTAACACCCACTAAAGGATTGACTCAGAGTTATGCAGTAAAGCTAGTTCAAGCTAGTTTTCATTTATTGGTTCAAGCATGGACTATTGTGGTTCTTTACACTTTTTCAGGAAGTGTAACAAGTTTAAAGTCTAAAGTCTGTAGATTTAGAAAGGTGGAGGACATAATAACCAGTCTTCCATTGTCGGCTTCTTTTTTTTTTGTACTCTCTCTACTTCTATTCTCTTAACTGCAGTGTTGTAGAACAAGGATCAAATCCGACAGCAGTAAGTCAATACTGCTGTAATCAAGTATGTATGATTTGGCTGAATTTACAATATTTCTCAATACAAGATAGATTTGTTTTGTATACTCCCAAATTATTATTAATTACTATTATTACTATTACTATTATTATTATTATTATTATTATTATCATCAATTCGTAAATTGCTGTCAACAAATTGACAGCAATTTGTTGACTTGTGAGGTTATTTTTATTTAAAGCAATAACGGCTGCAAATTGGTCTTTCGAAGCAAACATTGTGAAAGCAAGAAAACAGTGATAACAAGCACATCTGCTCATCTTTACAGCAGCCAGTCAGCCCATTATTTATTTTGTAAGAGTTGTTACAGGTGCAAATAAGTGTGGCAACGCCGGTAATTCTTTAGATACTTGACGTCTGTACAGTAGATTTTAGGTAATAGTTTGTCCTGATCACGTTGTCATTTTAAAGAAAATTGGGTGTTTTTCTTTTTTGTTTGTTTTGTTCTCTCAGTGTCATAGTAAAACAGAATAAAATATTTTTGAGTCAACAGATAAAACGGGGAACAAACTGTGATGTGAACACAGTTCCTTCAGAAGGACCTTACTCTTGTGCCTTGGTGTGGAGCTGACTCGCCCATAGTTTGGTGGGTTGGACAGTCTAGAATTGATAATTAAAGGTCTCTGAACCCATTCTTCTCTGGCTTTGAATTGCTGAAAATGATGGCTTGTAGTAACGCCTGAGAGGAGAGAATACAATCTTTAAGAACTTGGTAAAAAATAATAATAATACAGTCACAGGATATTTGATCACTTACAATTCTCAATAGACCAAGAAAAAAAAATTAGCTATTTTTTGAATAGGCTACAACTTTAAAAAGACGAGGCACACCATGATCAAAATGTGCTACATTGTATGAGATATCAAACAAGTCTAAATCATACTGTTGCAACGTTTGTATTACTTTTCAGTGTTGGAAGACATGCAGGTTTAGGTAAACAACACCTAAGCATTACCTTCAGATGGATCTGACACTGTGACAATGTGATCTCAGCTACTGTACAGTGAAACATTCCACCACTATGGTTCAATAATTACATTGCTTAACCTAATTTCTGTCATGTAAGAATGCAGAACGCTTGGATTGGCTCCAGATTTTCAAATAATCGAGTTATTCAATCAATATATGATACCAGATCTATAGAAACTCTTTACGTACTACACATAGAACACTGAACTTTGCTACCAAGACGGTCGAGCAAACTGATGTAAAATGGGGCGCATCAAAAGTGGTACATACTTCACAGAAATTACGATTTTACATCTTAAAGGTAACCTTATAGAACAGGTGAATGGTAAAATGAATACAATTCTGAATTATTTCCATATGGGGGGGGGGATCTTAATTGGAAGTCTTACCAGAGGAAAGAGGCACCAAAGGGTGAAGTCTCGACCTGCAGCTGCAGCCAGGTTTTGAGCACAAACAAACAGAATCACAAGAGTTACACGTGGGGAAGTGAGTAGATACGGGCTTTCTTGATTTCTGGAACAAAAATAAAACAAAAGGAGGGAAAAACAGATTTTACCTCATTCTGTTAGCAAGTAGATAGAGTACAGTTTTTCCACATAAGTAATTAGCTGTCACATTTACTAACATGAAGACAGATACTAGGAGGATGCATATGCGTACGGTACATCTGCAGCAGGACAGACCAAGAAAAAGAGGAGCCTGCATTGGGCATACCGGTGAACTGGTGGTGTAGCAAGAGGTGACAGAGAACAATCTGCGTTTGTGGCAAGAGACCATGGGCCGGGTCCGGGCGCACACACACGATGCATCGACTCTGAAGAGCCTTCTGCCTTTCAGCCTCCTTCCCTTAGCACTCCCAGTTAGAAAAACATCATCTCCTCCAGGAGTACTGCAGGAATGAGATCAGATGAGATCATGAAGATGCCACAGTTGTGACTCATGCACTAAAACAGGCCATTTTTTCAAGCTGCTGTCAGAATAGAAGTGCATCACTGGTAATAACGAGTAAATATATATATATATATATATATATATATATATCCTCTTGTTACTTTACAATTAATAAACATCAACACAAGGCTTTTATTTTCACTCACAATGAGGTATAAAAAAGGCAACATGCAGTCAGTCTAGACAAAGCTGTTTGGCTGCTTCGATTATAAAAAGTCATAAGCTGGTTAATAAATATTAGAACATCAGAAAATAAACATTTTGCCTATTTCCCTAAAAGAATTTAAAGCAAGTCTTTAAATAAGTACTGGAAGATTACTGTACACCTAAAACTTACTGATTGAAATCTTTGATCTGCAACATGTGATTATCCCTAACAAATCAAAAGTATTGCCACTGTTGCATATTTATTATGGCTCATGATTATAAAATAAAAAATAATAACAATTCTGAGCATTCAAATAACACATACTTTTCATCTTTACGGAGAATGAGAGGTAAAAGAGGCAGAAGACATTATTCATGTCGGGCTGGAGAAAAAGAAAAATGTTTCACTGCTTTTCTTACCCAAAGTTATGGCCCATTAAATAACAGAAAAGCAGCACAGAACTGACATTTAAAATATTTCCCTCAGCCAAGTCAGAAAAACTACTGAGCTGGGAATTATAGCACCACCGCAAGCATGCAGGCGTCAGCAAATGACAATAGATTTAAGACTCAGTGATTAAAACTGTTTGATCTGCAACATTAGATTAAGACTTGAAATCCTGACTGTGCAGCCACATGGTGCCTTACCTTCTGTTTCCACTGCTGCTTGCCACAGCTTTATGTCAGGCATGTTGGATCTGTGTATGTGCTGGAGTTGCCTCTGTGATTATTAATGCTGATTGAGCAGCTGTGCAGTGTTGGCTTTTGAGTAGCTGTTTGTGAATACAAAGTAAAAAGAAAGAACGCAATTCTCCACTTCTAAGGTTTTAATAATAATGACAACTCATATTTGATTCTACTTTTTTTCATTATTATTTTGGCAACCCAGTCAACAGGCAGTTAATTTGTGGATTTTGATCTTTGGCAATGATTAACTAATCATGAACAGGTCAATATTTTTAGAAAAGCAAAAGCTTTCACGGTTTAACAATCTGAAACAATAGGGCGTATAGTAACGCATTAAGCAGAGCGGTCATATTTTGTAGCTCTTGGTCACCATTAGGTTAGTTTTCTAATGCCATTTCCAAACAGCCTGGCCTACATTCCTACACAGCGAGAAAGATCATTCACAAGTGGAAAACCGCACAGCTGGTTTTTGTTCAAGGAAGGGACGGGCCTGGAAGTTCACACAAAAGTCAGAGAAATCCTAAAATGTAAAAAAAAAAATAAAAAGAATTGTCCAGAATAAGTTTATCAACCATCTGCTTCTGAATTTCAGTTTTCCTCTAAGTAGATGTGAATGTTAAGTTGCGATACATCATGTGTTTCACCACTCATGGTGATATTTACCTAGTGTCCTTTTAAATTTATGTCCTGGTGAGTAAAGTCAGCTAAAGTGTTTTAATAGAAATGCTCTAATTAGGTTGGGTTCTAATACCCATAACTATATTGAATAATTGCACATACAGAGATTTTTTGTTTTCATCTAGAATGCCTTTACTGAAACAGTTAGTGTTGCTGTGATCTTTAATGTAAACCTAATTGTATTTATATTTATAAGACTAAATAATAAGCCCGAGTCATCTTTTTATGGCTGTATTTTAATTGTTGTCAGCACAAGAGCTGAGACAATGAAGGGGACATCTGGGGCACAACAGACCTCAAGCTTGAAAAAAAAAAAAATTCTGCTGTCAACACTGTGCCGTAAAAGGGCAGCAAAGCAATCAAACATGCCATCACATCCCATAACATAATTTAAATTAATGAACCTTTCTGCTGCAAAACAAAAATTATTCATGAGCTGAAGTGACGTTACATTATGTGCGCAAAAACTAGAGACAAAAGAATTTGCAATTAGTGCTTTTAGTGTAATTAGCATCTGAAGCTAACTGTGGCATTTCTTTTATTTTCTAGACGGTAAACAGATTTGCAAGTACAGGACTATATTTCGTCTCGCTGTTTTCCAACTTTTAAAGTCCTTTATTCTCCATGTCAGACAGATAGAAAGTTCTAACATGAAAGGCAAAAAAAGCAACATTCTGTATTCTTTCCAGTTTCTACTGTAGCTGTTTGTTGTTTTCATGTTGCGCTCTGAACTTTTCTCCTGAGACGTTATACCGCTGTAACAGTGTGACATAACTTCCACGGCTCTAATTGTTGCCAGCAAAACACATAACTTCTGTCTTGTATGTTTTTTTCTTCCTATTTGTCACCAAACTATATCCAAAGACTTGCAAATGACTTGAAGGTCATCTTTGACCTTCAAGTCATCTATTGATAAATTTTAAACATTCATTTTCAAAATGTGTGCAACATTTTTTGGCTGTAAGGCCTCCTCTGTAAAAATCAAAGCTCCAACAGACTCAAGAATAATCTGGGTGGTCTGGGGTTTAAAAACAAAACCAAAAAAAGAAAAGAAAAAAAAGTTAAATCTGAATAATGTCTCTCAAATGAAGCCTTTGTTGGTTGATTAACATGTCATGTTGAAATGCGACAGAGCAACCACTGTAACCTAAGATATCATCTCAAATATAACCAAAAAATATGCCGCAGAGCTGTGGTAACAAACTCCACCCAAACTCTAACCTCCACCCATAGCATGAGGCTGAAGCAGGATGAATATGCAGCTGTCAAAACAGACAATGGTCAGGCAGATTTTCTCAAAGTGTTTACAAGGTGATCTGAAGAATAGGGTATCCATTAACTGCAACTGAGGAGCAGCCCAAATAAGAACAGGAATTCTACACACCTTGAGAAGGTTCCCCTTTCCTTTGAAGACTGTTTAGAGAGAGGTGAAAAACTCAGGGGAAGCATCAGACTGTTTACAATCTGGCTGAGCTGGGCACTCTGCAGAGAAGGAAACACAGAAATCAAGTTAACCCAGAAACAAAATGAAAGCGGAGCTTTATCCAACTGCTTGCAAACCTGTATCGTACTTCATATCAATAGAAACCGCTGACATTAAAGCCTGTGCTGCCATAAGACTATCAAAGCTGCAGAAGGTAGCTTTTATAAGTGTGTTGTTGTTTTGTTTTGTTTTTTTACATTTTTCTTTAAAACGTTCACTATGTCATGACAATATAACATGAGACTGATAATCTGTGAAAAAAAATGAGCTCAACTAGTCTGAGCATTCACAGCAGGTAACTCTGCAGGGAAGGAGATGCAGCATAGCAGAGAGCAAGGGGGAGGTTGAGAGCAGCATGTACATTAGGGTGATTGACAGTGGTAAGACCCGCCTCCTGGCTCTGATTGGTTATTTCTGACCAAGTGGTGCATTTCTGCAAATATGCAAGCTTCATTTATTCACATTTTATCTTTCTCTGTCATGACATAGTGAAATATTTAACAAATATGTTAAAATACATATATTATTTATAAAAGTTACCTCCTGCAGGTTTAATTCAAAAGGAAATACAAAACAGAAAATACTAAGAAATCACCCAAAAATGATGCTCCTCTGGGATGTGTCCATAAGTATGGATCTATTTCACTTTAGTGAACATTCAACATCAAGATTACACTCAACTTCAAAGTCCATTAAGACTGGGAATGCATACCGTGTTATATTAATATGCAATTCTACATCTGCCTCAGCCGCTACAACAATTAACACGCTCTTCCTCCCTCCTGGGATAATTAGAACCACCTGACATCATCAAGCAGAAGCAATTTATTCCCTCCACCTGCAGCTACTAATTTACCATAACAGCACATGGGTCGAACAGCGAGTACTGTGTAAGTGATGAGTCAAATCCTCACAGGCTGACACCGGAACACAACGTTCCAGTCAAGAAAGAGCTCAGCCACCGTACCTGTCTCTCGATGTTGTACAGGAGGCGCGTGGGACTGCAGGGCTCCGCGTCGGCGTCTGAGGCCGTGCAGGAGAGGCCGGCCATTTCTCTCATCAAGGTCTGCTGAATCTGCCTGTCGGTCAGCGGCTGGGATTGCGCAAGAACCACCCGGCCCTAAAGCGCTCACAAAAGAGCACAGATGCAAAAAGACAGATCTTGTATGGTATCCTATGTTTTACTTACTGATTTAAATAAAAAATGTTCTACAAATCCACAGCACGTGGACGCAACAATCAGAATTGTGTGGTCGATTTCTGTTTTTAGGTTTTAGAAAAGACTCGACCTGCTGAGTGTGATTTAATTCAGAATTTTTTCAAATAATAATACTAGAGGACATAAGAGCATGATATAAATGGTGTTTGTTTTTTGTTTTTTTAACCCCTGCCTCCAGGGACACCAATAACAAAAAAGGAGAGGCGTCATATTGCTGTAAAGCTAAATTTACATTTTTTTAAATAAAACCAAAATGAAAAGGATTAAAAAAAAGAAAACTTTTGTTGTAACATGTTGACCTTCCTATTAGCTGCTCAAAGTCTCACGCTCTCGCTTTCCTGTAGACTGACTGACCCACAGACATGGGTATACTCAGTACAGCCTCTATATAGTTTTTTCAATCTCTAAGCTTCAGTTTTAAACACTTTACTGGTCCAAAACATAACTACCTGTCAGTGTTTTTCCGTTAGGAGCTGCATTCACACCCAAAGAGTTTTGGTTTAGGTTTTTGGATAAAGGTCAAACTTTTGAGTTCATCGCTGGTTGGGGTTGATCAAGCTGACTACCACCCTATTCCATCCACCAGCTGATTTCTCTGCGCATCTCTAACATCCATCATACCTTGGTGGAGCGTATGTGCTTGTGCAGCTCCACCAGTTGCTCTATTCTCCCGTCCAGTTCGGACATACGGAGCTGCAGCCAGATCCATCTGCTGCTCAGCTCCGCTCGTTCTTCCAGCCACTGCATCTCACTGCTGCTGCTGCTGCTGCTGCCGGCACAAGGTGAGAGATAGATGGTTGTTTTAATCTCATTTCCCAATGTGTCAGCTTCACCTTTGTGAAAACAAGCAGGCGACCTGACAGGAAGCGATTATTCTAAAGGCCGCACTCGGAATGAACAAAGTGTGTGTAATAAAACTGACTGTGTGTAAAAGGTTACAATAGGAGCAAGTGTGTGTGTGTGTGTGTGTGTGTGTGTGTGTGTGTGTGTGTGTGTGTGTGTGTGTGTGTTTGTGTGTGCTTTGTGAGGCTGAGTTCAGTACCACAGCAGTTGCCATGGCAGTGCTCTTGGACCTTGGCTTGCAGGGACTCCCCCACTTCAAACACTCTGATCCAGAGGGAAAGGTTAGGATTCCTGGCATAAAGCTATAGACTGCACACTCCCCAGTTAAATTCAATTTAATTAAATACCTAAAGACAAGATTAAGTCATACAGAAAAGAAAATATCAGTGAAAGCCACCCTGTCAGTGTGCTTCAGTGAAGTCTGTTTGTTAAGAGGCTAATTGCCCCTTCCCAAACACAGACATTGCCCAGTCTTGGCTTGCCCTTTTTCGCTTTCCACCAGCATAATGAGGAAATTCCAGGAATTTTTTGCCAAGCGCTGGCTGGAGGAGAAGGGGAGTGAACAAAGGAGGAATGACTTTTTTGATAATCTTTCAGGGAATGTTCCCCAAACTGTGTATTTATCACAAAGTTAATGAAACCAAGTAAAATATCAGCTGACATCCTGTGAATACAAGTCAGAGTGAGAATGCTCTGGGTTCTCGCAGCTAAAGTGAGGACCCCGAGCTGAAACAAGAGGCTTTACCTCATTTGACTGTCTTGACTCATGCAAAGGAAGTGATGCAATCAAACTTAAATATTGTCAAAGAATCTTCTGACCACATAGAATATGTAATCTGTTAAAACAGTATTGAGAACTCTTTAATTTTTTCACACTTTTTCCAAAGACTCTCTTGTTAAGAAAATAATGTAATACTTTCTGTCTCCAGATGTGTAAAGCTAGATAAAATGAAGAGGATTTTTTTTCTCTCTCTCCATTTTTACACACCACTTTGTGTAGGTCGATCAAAAGAGACCAACAAAAATAAGGTGAAGTTTATGGTTGAAACATGTCAAAACATGAGTTCAAGGAGTATGAACAGTTCTGTAAGGCACTGTAGCTAACAAACTGAGTAAACAAGCTCCAGCTACAAATGCAAAACTTAACCAATTACACTTTTAAAGCTGCATCCCATGAGTGCTTCAACTGTTCCCACACTGTGAATGCAGAGAGTTAAGTATTTCCACATTTTTTTTTTTTTTTTTGAACGGACTGTAATGATCCATTTCCTCACAAGAAACAAGCAAACCACTTAGAGAAGGACCAAGCTATAAAATTCGTAAAGTGGAGGTTTAGAGCTAAATCACAGGGAACTACTCCATACCAGGAAAAACTGTGGGGAAAAGGAACTGGTTGACACTTCGAATCTGGACAAGAAACACAAACCCACAACCCAACACACAAATATGAATATATTGGTTTCCCCTTGCAAAAACTATATATATATATATATATATATATATATATATTTTTTTTTTGTGACTTCTAAAGTTTGCCAATTCCTTTACATTAGGAGCTAGAGCGATCAAGTTTCCCGTTCAAAGTGTCCAGTAAAAGCATTCGCCAGAGCAGCTGCTGTTGCCCTCAGGCCGTGTCTTGTGGAAATTCCAGAGTTTACATAAGGATCTACATTCTCCAGGGAATGCACGCATTGTGTTAGCCATGTTTTAGGAATGCTGGCTGTGCAAACACCAATATCAGATGCTAATGACAGGTAAAAATGTCAAACCCATAAAACCCTGCTTTTCAGCACTGTTTTAGCACAGAGGAGGAAGTGATGTCACCCTTGCTCCTGATTGAAATAATTGTTGCCCGCTCATGCACAATGCCAAGAAAACTTTTTTTTTTTTTTTAAACTGTTCATATGTCTTCTACTATTAAAGTTCCAAAAGAGAAACAGAAATCAGCTCAAGTCAGTATCAGTAAATCAAAGTTTACCACAAAACTGGAGATTGGAGAAAAGCCACAAAACCCTCATCAGCGCCTGTCTAATATAATTTGTTTAGATCATGGTCTCAATCCATGGCTTTCTTTTTCCTTGGGGTAAAAATATGACAAGGCACAGAACAGAGGCCCATTTCACTGAGCTGCTCTCTACAAGGGGAAAGACAAGAACACATGGCGTTCAAATAAGGCAGATGGGTCATGGGTCAAAGAAAACATCTATTTTCCTAAATCTGCCCATATTTCAAGTCAGAGTAATAATCAATCAATCAAGTTTATTTGTACAGCACATTTCAGCAGCGAGGGGGTTCAAGGTGCTTTATATAATAAAAACAGAAAATTACAATGAAAAGCATTAAGAAAAGCATTTGTAACTGTGATAAACAAGGCTGGACTGTGGTAACAACGTCAAGAAAAAAGTTCTTGGTTCATGAACTACAAGAGTGACGTCATGAAATTTCCTCACTGACAATGTAAAGGTTCAGTCATATCAGCCCTGTTTAGTCCACTTTAATCAAACTCTAGTTTGTTTGTCTAGAAAATCTGGTTTGTTTGGGGAGGTGTGAGAGCACAATCGAACTCTGATGTGGACCAAGAAAGCGAATCTGAACTACCTGAAAAGCATAATTCTGCTCACCAAAGTTTTTAAATCAACCTGCCTCTGTCAGGATGTAGAGCAGGGGTGGCCAAGTCCAGTCCTCGAGAGCCACCATCCTGCAAGTTTTAGAAGTATCCTTACTCCAACAGACCGGGATCAGCTCTACAGAGGCCTGATAACGAGCCAGTCATTTGATTCAGGTGTGTTGAAGCAGGGATGCATCTGAAACTTGCAGGATGGTGGCTCTTGAGGACTGGACTTGGCCACCCCTGATGTAGAGGATGCAGGGACTAAATAAGGACGGCACCTCCGGCGTTCAAAGCAAACACTGAGACGCACATTGTCAACTAGAAACAGTGAAGAGCTGAGACATGATGGCAGAGTCTGGGTGGGACGCTGCTGGCTCGCTGGCAAGCCCGTGTTTATTTCCTAGCCTGCGGGTAGAGAGGGAGCTGGCTCGTCAGACGGATCTGTTATGACTGCCGCATGGAAAGAAACAACTACGTGTGAGCGCTTAGCTGAGAAAAAAAAAGAAAGAACGTCAGAACACCCACCACAGCAGAGAGCACAAAACATGTACTTATGACAGCCAGAGCGTGAATGTCTCTGAAGGCCAAGTTAAACATGCAAGCAGCAACTGGGGATTCACAAAATCCCAAAGCTAATACTAGTACAACATGAAAATCTGTTCGTTTCAGAAATTCACCATTCAGACCCCACTTAACGTTTTTTTTTTTTTTTTTTTTTTTTTTTAGTTTTTCTTACGGGTTGCCTTCCATCCCCTGAAATAAAGCGAGACAACACCTATGTGAACTTTCCACATAGGTCTGAACTGACAACATGGGCTCCAATTCCTGCAGCCAAATCCTCTGCACTCCGAGTGTTCTTCAGCATGAGTAGTTAACTTCACATCTGACACTGAAATGATCTAATCTTATGCTTCAAAGGATTTCCAGCGTCTAGGAGACCGAGCTGGTTTATTTAGCTGCACGGACCAGCTGCACAAGCAAGATACTCACAGTGGCCCTTTGTACACAAACACACACTAGAGCTTACATTAAAGGGGTGCATTCTTTCTCTGGAAAGTCCTCCCCTTTAAAGTCCATGCTTTTCGACACATTGCAGATCAGAAGTTGTCATACGCCAGTGGTAAAACTGTTTTATCTTCTCTCCAGTTGGAAGGATTAGAAGCAGACCATCTTTGTGAATTAAAATCGAGCATTAAACATATGTAAAAACAGTACATTTATTGAATAGAAAGTTTTCTATTCATAAAAGGTACAAAAAAATGAAAAGCTTGAACACAATTGAACACAATTAGCTTTAGCCCAGATAGAGCAGGCCAGGCTTCAGGCTTCTTTGACCCTACTGAAAATAAAAGGAACATGCTTAAAAGCTGAGGCAGTGCCAAGAAACCAAGACCTCGTCAATGACTGCAAAAAGTTTCTCTATGATTTACTAAGGAACACTGAACCAAATATCAGTGAGGTTTTTACATAATTCATGCCGTATGCATATTTTTGATCCTTCCCAGTGAATTGCAATTCACTGGGTTGTTAGAGTCGCTCAAAGCCAATCTAGACAGCAGGATAATATAAATAGCAAACTGACAAGATTACCAACTTGATGATACTCACAAAGGCGAAAGCATGTCTTCCTCTAACTCATCGTCAGAGCTGCTGCTGCCTGTGGCCTCCGAGTCCAGGGCTTCCTGCAGGCCTCTGAGAACCATCTGGTTGGACTCGCAGAAATCCGCCACCTCGGCGAAAAAAGCCGAGGCTGCGATCGACTCTTCCCAGGGAAAACAGGGGTTGCTGCAGCTTTGTGGCGGCGTGGCAGAGTCCAGACCGTCAGGAGGAACATCTTCGAGCTGGAAGTGCTTCTTCAGGCCCTCCAGCTGCTGACTGCAGTGCTTCAAAGCGTGCTCGCCCAGCAGGGCTTGAAGTCTCCTTTGCAGCCTGCAGGCTCGACCTTGAAGCTCCGCGTGGCGGGAGAGCTGCTCCTTCGCTGCGTTCTCCAGCGGATTTCTAGATTCCAGCCGCTCGGGGTTCACAAAGCCAGTCCCGAACTGCCTTAGAGCCGCAGTAGGAGGAGGACAGAGCTTCTCTAATTCCTCATACATCATCTTGGGCTGGGTCGCATACATGGAAGTGAGATTCTGAGAGGCTTGCTCGCCATGGGAATAGGAGGGACAAACACTGGGAAAAATGAGAGAGGAGTGGAGCACATCACCACCATCTGGCCCGCATTCAGGCTGAACGCTTTGTCCGTGCAGGAGCAAGGCCTCCTGGCTATTGTGCTCTGGAAGAGGGATTAGAAACATGTCCGTTGCACCTGGAAAGACTGTGGCCACTTGACGAGATTCCCTCTGGCATTTACTGAAGCAGGGCAAGCTGACGAGTAAACCGGGAGCAGGCCGGGCCACCATCTCACCCTGACCGTGACACGCAGGGCCGCACGCGAAAGGACTGGGGTTCGCTGGGGGGTCTACGGGGTCCAGGTAGCCGAGCGAGCAAAGGTTCAAGCTGATTTTCTGCAGGTCGCCGTCATCTGCCGGTCTCAGGTGAGGCTCGAGCTCTACGGTGCACAGGATGGCGCTCGCATCCGAGTCCACGGCGACAGAGGCGGGAGGAGAGGAGAGGTGGATGCCGTGGTCATTTTTCAGGATCTTGGTCAGGGCCGGGGCCATTCCCCTCTCAGAGCCAGGCGGGAGGCTTCACGGGGCACGCCCTGAAGGATCTGACACAGAGCAGTGCGCTTCGTTAACCTCAAATGATAAACACATTTGTATTTCAACAACAGTCAGACTGTACCACTGAGAAAACACACGAAGGGACGCGAGTAGCAAAAACAAAAATAAATAAATAAATAAATAATGTTTTATTTTTGTCATTTTTAAAAAATAATATATGTATTTTAATTTTTAATGTCCTGATTTAAGTGTAAGATTATATTAACGTAAAAAGTTAAAATAAAGATACATAATTTAAGTGTATGTGTAGGTACAAAAAAAACCTCATGCTTCCTGGTATTCATATTTACTCTAAAACTGAGCTTCTCTGTGGACAGACCACATCTGTCTAGAGTGGTGCCCCTTTTTACATCAATAGGACTGCTACCGGCTAGATAGCCAGTACATTGTCTAGCAACCATGACAACTTAATAGACGCACTGAAAGCATGAGGACAGTGACGCCTGACAGCATTAGAGACGGGTGAACCTTTTCATATACGCAAACAGGGAATAAAGCGTTGTTTTTTTTTTTACATCTGTTGCTTCACACTAGGAATGTGGCAGCTGCAGAAAATGTCCTCCATATGTCTGTTTGTGGCAGTTCTTGAAGCTCTGGCTCCCGCCACTGTCCACAACTTGTGAAACTGTTGAAAAGGCTTTTTGACTTACAATCCTCTAATTGTTGTGGCTGTCCTTGCTGCTTTTGCACCTTTCACTTCTACACTTTTTTCCTCCTACTCAACGTCCCTAAATCTCCCTGGCTACAGCACTCAGTAAATTACCAGTTTCCTTAACAGTGAACTTGTGATGACCGTCTGCTGGTCGGCTGTCAAGTCATTGCTGTGCAGACCAGGGGTGTGCAACCTTCAAATTTCAAAGACTCATTTTTGCCCTTATTGCAGTTTAACAAAGTCTTATTTGAGCCACAACTTGTAATCTATCAATATTTAGCTGGTACATTTTAAAGCCTAGATTAGGCTTTAAAATAAATAACGTAAATCTTTTTTGCAAAAAGAGTGATGGGTATATTTTTATTATATGGCATATTGTTATTTGTGGAAAATGAAGAAAAACAAAATTGCATAGTTTCCAACCTAATGACAAAACAAAACTGTTCCAAAAATACTAATAGTACTTTTAGTGCCATTCATTTGTGGAAATCTAATGCAATTATTCCATGAAAAATTGCTAAAATGGCATTTTTATTATATCTGTATTTAGAAACATGTCAGTAAATCGGTTTCTTTTTATTTTAAGCCAAAAGTATGAGAGTCATTGTGGAAGATATAAGGAGCCACAGTTGCAGACCCGTAGCATGAACATGACGTAAGACTTTTGTATTAATGGTCTGATACAATGTTCTAACATTCTGAATTTTTTATTATTATTATTATTATTATTATTATTATTATGTGTGAACCATAATCATCAAAATGAACAGAAATAAACACTTGAAATATAGCAAACATCAATGTATAAGTTTAATCTGGAACTGAATTACAATAATAAATACATTTCCTGTGTTATGTGTGTCTTTTAAACCGTTGTTCTCATTGACCCCCCCACACCCCTTTTTTTTTTTTTTTTTTACTTTAAGCATCTGCCCCTTTAAGTCTCTGCACGCCCCTGCCAACGATCCAATGGTAACCAAGTACAACGTAAATAAACTGCAATAAAATTCGTCAACGGTGGTTAACGGTTAAAGAAACAGTTATTTCAAGACACCCTAAGAAAACCCGAATTACCCACCAGCCTTTTCTGCACTGTTTCATTCAGCGGGTAACTGTTTTACTATTTTTAACGGACTCGTCAGTAAATCTAACTTTTCCTTTAAGCTACTTAAACTTTAACCCAAACGGCTAAACTGACGGTCTAACTTATGAAAACTAAACGTTAGAGGGGTGCCTTTCAACTCCAGAACAAGTCAAAACTGAGCTTTACTGTAGTTTTACCAATAAATAAACGCGTAACTGCCCCGGCAGAGCCATGCATTGCGAAACATATGAGCACTCCCTAAACATATGAACACTCCCTAAAGTCTGTGTCCAGCTACTCACCTGACCGCTCATCGGACATCGTATGTTTCAGGGTTAGAGATCTAGAGCTGAAGATTTTTCGAGCGTTTGAGAATCAAAACACAGCAGCCTGGGTGGCGTATATTGACGAAGATCGAGGTTCTGACAGGCACTGTTATTAAATATAAACTATGAAAACAATACGTTTTTCCCTTGAGGAGATTTGTCCCATCCTGCTCCCTCCTGCTAGCATCCGCTCCCCAGATCTCCTCTAGCCAACTGCAGACAGAAGCAAGATTCTAGGATCTGATCGACGAGGGGCTGAGCCAGACCCCTGCTGCCTTCACGGTCTGTTCGAAAGCTCGGAGCTGTCACAACTCCCTGCGACTCATCTCATTCTCTGAAAATATCGTTTCTCTTCAAATGGCTCTTAATAAAATATTTCAAGGACAAAGGCAGCGCGAAAACGAAAGAGCACACGTTGTTAATATAACATATTTCAAATTGGTCATAGATTGGCTGCTTATTTCACGCATAAAATATTTGTAAAGAGAAATGGGTCAGCACCAAATGCCAGTGAATATTAATATTTATGTATTACCTGTGCTATTGTTAGTGGTAGCAGTAGCAACTGTACAAATTAAATTAAATTCAAAAATACGTTATTGATCCCAGATTAATATGGGGTTCCATACAATCTTGTTAACTTGTAAATATTAAAGAAAATGGGGTGTTTCAAAAAATGTTGCCTCAAAGCAACAATCAACTTGGAGATATTAAATATTTTACATTCATTATAAATGATGTTTAAGAAAATAAGCTTTTTTTCCTCTCTCTCTCTCTCTTGTGTACCATTAAAGTACACTGTTGTCAAAAGGCAAAAAACATCATTAAACTTACAAAAAAGATTTTGTTAAATGAAATTTATATTGATTTATATTTATATTGATTGTGTTTATTTTCACTATATATATATATTTTTTTTTTTTTATTTTTTTTTTCCATTCGGACATCTGAACCACAGGAAATAAAATAGATAATAGAGTGGAATATTTCTGTACAGTAGTAATTGCTTAGACACATACCACAAAGTAGCAGGGTTTTTTTTTTTTACTTAAATGAAGATAATGAAGAAAATAAAAATAACTAAAAGTACATTAAGCAATAAAATATTTTTGCAGAGAAAAAAAAAACAGGCATAAATATCCAATTTTTCTGCAGGTCATGTATATTTTATTTCTGCTGCCAGCTGTTAAACCACCGACCTGCTCTGCTCCACATATCTGCTGCCTGAACACAGACTGACCCGCTCCCAGGTTAAATGTGGTGCCCAACATGTAGAAACTGACCGCTGTTGATCGTACATAAGGACTTATGAAAGCAGACAGATTTTGCTGAGACGTAAAAATGTACTCGTGCCAGACAGCATAGGAAAAATACAGGAGACCCTGAATGACGCCAGTGATGGTGACTCTCAACTGGCTACTGAGCCGAGCACTGGAAAGGGACTGTCCATTTATAACCCTACGCCGAATGTGCATTCCTAGATAGACTACAGTGATACAACTAGATGTCATCATCACAACAAAAGAGAGATAAAAATGACCCTTCTTTATGATAACCATAATAGCATATATATCCACAGTCTGGTTCAGCAACTCTTCCACCAGTATGGAGACGGGTGCCTGTTTCACCGGAGAAGTCATGTTGAGTTCAGATCCAGTAGAATAGGGAGCCATAATGACCAAGACTAAATCCAGTCAACCATAAATGTTTTCTAAAAGCAAAATGCAGAAGATGATTGGTTTGATGTTCTCCTTAAACCAGATGAAGATGGCTCTATGTGCAGGAACAATCTGAGTGTAACAGAAGAAGTTCAGCCAGACAGAGGAGGAAACGCTGCTGGACAAACAGCCAAGTGCGATCACAAGATATACTTCATGATCCTGTCAGCAGTTCTCTCAGATAAAAACATCCTAAAAACTGTTAATAAATAAACAATGGTGCTGACAACCAAAGAGCCCAGAAGTATCTTCAGAGGTTGCTTGATCCTTTCTCTGCGGTGCGGACACACGATGCAGAAGATGTAAAATGCATTAATTATGAAGTTGATTACGCCGACAGGCCCATTGACCAGGGCCCAGGTTAGGTAGTTCATCTCTTTGGTGATGTGTTTCTTCTATTTTTATGTGTAGGTTTTCCTGTCTTCTCTGTGATCGACTAGGCAATGACATCAGATGTGCAGTGGAACAATTCGAACATATTTACATATTATGCAAATGGATTATGAAAATTATTCTCATCAGTTTGAAATTACCTGTGAAAAAGGTCGTCTTCAATGTGTTCATCACTATATACGCATCATTGTTCTCATCCTTGATGTTTCACTTCTCTGTATGTCATGTATAGACAAATGTAGAAGTTTTATGTAAAAAAAAAAGAACTTAATACTAATGTCTCCCACTTCAACTGAAAATACTTTTCTCTTGTCATTGATAATTATTCTGCTCCTATAACATCCCCAGGCTCCGTTGTCTCATGTATCAAATATATGTGAATTGAGAAAATAGTTTTTCAAGTGTTTTAATCAATTACAATCAGGAATAAATTGCAGGCAAAAAAAAATAAAATCATTTTGGTATTTTTTTATTTAAATAAACACTTCCGACTAAAACGCCAGAATCAACACACCATATAAACACACAAAACCAGCAGGAAAACACTCATAAAAAATAATAATCCATATCAGCAACAGCAAATTATGATACATCTTTACATTCAAACACTTATGGAGAGTTATAATATTTTCTGGTAATTATTATTTTGCACCCACCAACCCACACACGCACACAAACACGCACACACACATTACCCTCATTTTTGTGCGCACACGCAAACACATTCACACACGTAAAGCCACAGGTTTATCCCTTTGAAGTCAGTCAGTATGTATGATTGAGATAACCATTGTGCTACATGTGGACAACTTGGGCATACTTGGAATAAATAACAGCTAGCATCAGGTTACAAAATCATTATTCAGTCAGTGTAGATCCAATCTTTGGACATTTTTTTTAGTTATTTGTTAAGCTCCATAATTTTTTCAAGATTTATAAAAACAGATTTCTTATTACAGCAGTGTTGTGGACTTGTATTTCAGGTGCTGCATCATTGGTATTTTTAGATGTTTTTGGACCATTTTGCTGATGTCTGTTTCACCTTTTTAAAATCTTATAAAGGAGAATGGTTTTAGGTTTCACTGTGTATCAGTGCAGCAATAACTGAACATGAGAGGCAGACAAAAGACAAACTGTAATGGACCATTCACCTTTGCATTAAAACAATGGATGAATCGCTCCATTTACAGAGGCCTGTAGAAGTTGAACTAAATGATTCAAAACATGCAAAAACACTGAAATGGTCACAGGGAATAGGATTTAAATTGCAAAATAGTCGTGTTTAAAATGCACCACACACAGAAGCTCACTGGTTTCTGTGTTGAACTCTGATTTCAGACAGCCAGACGACTTTACTCATAAACCTTCCCGTGGCGACGATAAAAAAAATCATGATGCAGTACAGTAGGAGTCAGCGGATGTGTGTGGGTCCAGAGCAAGACATTCAGAAGTAGTCTCTTCTCCGAGAATCATCGCTTATGAAAGAAGGGTTCAACTGGGCTGGGTAAATGCATGAGTGGCGCGAGCCTGGCAGACCCGTGAACGGATACAGGCCATTTCTCTCCAGGTCGGAATTACGCAAAGCAGGCTGTGGGGAAACAATGCAGAAAATACTTTAAATATTTGATCTTGTTGAAATTATCAGCTGTACCAAAGAAGTGAATGTGCCTAAAAAAACCCAAACAAAAACAAAACAACTAAGAGATGGGGTGAAAAAGTTGCCTATTGATAATATTGACCTCTTTTTCAGGATTTTTTTGTGTGCTAATCAGTCTGTGTGATAATGATGTGCGACTCTCTGTGTCGTATCTGACTCATAAACTGGAGTTTTACTCATTTGAACATTTCTCCCTGTTTTCCTGAAATGTTAGATTTTTTTTCTAAGGTATAGTGTTACATGTTCTTCTCAGCTTAGACTATATTCCCATACTTCTTCTTGAACCTTGAAACCTTGTTGGCCCCAGGAAAGGTTTTAATATTGTAAAATGAACATTAAAAAAAAAAAAAAATCTACTTACAGAATAGTAAATGTCAGTCATCTGGAGCAAATTTTTTGTGCTGCCATTTTCCTGCATCTCAATGGTCTCTCTGCCCCACTCCATGGATATCCGATTATTTTTGGGGAAGTCTGCATATGGCGACATCTGCATGTCTCCACTCTTGAAGATGATTTTATTGATGTCATTTTTGTCTTTCCTGAAAGGTTGACATTTTTAAAAGTGAAACTTATAGAAAACACAAACATTAGCCAGATAAAACTAATTAAATTATATTTAGATTTATATACAAATATACTTATATATATATTTTTTTTAGATTCTCTGACAAGGAGAGCCATCTTACTTGCAGCAAGTGACAATTAGAGCAATGATGAGGATGAGGAGGAGAGCGCCTCCTGCAGGTGCCACCACAACTGCAATCAGCTTATAAACTGTAGCGTTAAAATAAGAAAGAGATTTGCAATTATCAAAAAAATAATACCAATAACACATGAATTTGTTAGAAATAGACTGAACATTATTGGTCAGGTAGATCTACTTACAATTGGCACAATTGAAGCCCCCAAATCCAAAAGTGCACCTGAAAAGCAAACAAATTAAAGTTAACAAAAACTACTTTAGAACTTTAAACATTACATTTTACTGGTTTGACAGCACAAATAAACAAAGTTTGACTCACGCGACACATGTGCCATTTTCCAGCTTGTATCCATCCCTGCATTCTGAAATAAGACAAAATTGGCATTATTTTTAATCATTTAAACAAATCAAACTAAATATTCTGTTGTTCTTCTTCTTCAAGTGAGCAATTTATTTATCTGTCATTATTCTATAATGAGGAAGAGAGCTTACCTAGGCAGGATAAGTCTTCTGGGTTGTGTTTGTAATATCCCTGGAGACACTGGCAGTAAGCCGTGCCACTGCTGTCAGTGCAGGTTGAGCGCTCGGCATCACACTGAGTCTTCTGAGCTTCACATAAGCTCTCCACTGGAACACAATCAAGAGTCATTGTCAATATTAAATTAAAAGTTTATGTCTAAATCGTTTATATCTGTAACGGAGAATGTTGGAAGTGATGTTTTTCTAATTCAGATAATCTGTGATTCTCCACCAAGACAGTGGCCTGAATGCTATCTGTTGAGACTGGTAAATGTTTTTGGATAAACTCTGCCCCCTGGCGGCTAATTATATGTATATGTATGTATATATGTGTGTATATATATATATATAAACTGCTCAAAAAAATAAAGGGAACATTTCACTTTAATTTTGTGTGTGGCTCCAAATCCAGGCCTCCATTGGTTAATAAATTTGATTTCCATTGATGATTTTCATTCAACTTTGTACAGAACAAAGTATTCAATGAGAATATTTCATTCATTCAGATCTAGGATGTGTTATTTGAGTGTTCCCTTTATTTTTTTGAGCAGTGTGTGTGTATATATATATATATATATATATATATATATATATAAATCAACTGCCCAAAGTAAACCTTCCAAAACATCCCAGAAAGAAAGAGAAGAAAGTAAAGCAGCTTACTGATCTTGATGATGGTGATGTTCATGCTAATCAACTCACTGTGGTAGGAGAGCTGATGTTGCAGGACCATTCTGCAGTGGGTCAACAACGAGCTGCAGTTGCTCAGAGACATCTGGATGCTGTTGTACACTTCAGTTGTCGTCACATCAGTGGAGATGGAAAACATGTTGACAGCCAAGATACGAACCCCGCCCTGCTCTCTATGGGGAACAATTGCACTGTTTTATTTGTTTTACTTTTTTTTTTTTTTTTTAGCAAATTCAAGTATTTTAAAATAAGCATCATCAACAGAATATGTATGTAAAAGTTGAAGTGTGCTGCAGACTTACTTGCTCCTTAGTGTTGAGCGACTATAACCTCGGAGGACCGACAGTGACACGTTGAGCTGAATGAGATACATTAAGTATTAACTATATAAAGATATAAGCAGTGATGATGAAACGTTAAAGTGTCTTGCAAAACTATGTATAGCCTTGTATATTGTATTTACCTCAGTATTTTATATTTTGCCACATTATTTTTGCATTGTAGAGCGAGACTTACCAGCTGTATGATCTCTCTCTCATACGTGGCCAGGTTTTTGAAATGATCATGTCTGTTAAAACTGAAAGTTCCCAGAAATGTCTTTACTATAGAAGGAAAAAAGAAAAGCCTGCAGTGAGCAAGCTGGAACAACGTCAACAAGACCATAAAGTGGACTGATTTGTGTTTCAGGATCACCTCTGGTGCACGTCCGTCCATCCTCAAGATGATAGCCGAGTGGACATTCACAGTTGAAGGAGCCGTTTGAGTTTAAGCACTTGGAGCCAGTCGGGCAGGGGTTCTGCTTACACTCATCCATATCTGAACATAGTAGGTGCAAAAAAAAAAAAAAAAAAAATATAAGAGGAACTCTTTTAGACCTGTAAATATCAGTCATGTTCTTCGTACTCTGCAAATTTGTTGTGATCGTGTAAACATGACATCACCTTGGTCGCAGGTGGGTCCTGTCCAGGCCTTCTGACACTGACAGATGAACTCTGGTCCCTTATAGCTCACACACATCCCTCCGTTCATGCAAGGGTTCGACAGGCAGGGATTTCCTGGCAGTCAGGGAGGTCAGAAAGCATATTGGCATCAAAACATTCTTTTCTTTTCTTTTACATCAAATCTTTTTTTTTTTTTATGCTGTAAGGCATAACTCTCTATGTGCACAAAGGATGCCAGTCCTATTTTTAGGATGTTTCTTCTAAAATGCATTTATAATAAATGAAATGTAGCAGCTTTCTAATTCTTCTTTTCAGATGTAATAGGTCTGCTGTTTCAGTAGGATTCTGACCATGTTACACCATTGAGACTGCATCGGAAAAGGTCTTGCACGGCACAGTTCTTGATAGCGATGCAACAGAAGTTTTAGTGTTGGATTTACTAGTTCTTAGGCAGATAATATAAACAAACCTGTTGTGATGGTTGTGATGTTTTATGGATAAGTGTGATGTGTACTTAAAAGGAATACGCAGAGAAAAATGAAGTACTCCTTAGTCCTTCCCCTACATGTTTAAAATGGAAGGCAAACTGGCTGCAATACGTGCTTTCACCACAGGACGTCGCTAAAAACCTACAAAGATGAACCTGAATTTATGAAAAATTGATCACTTTAACCTTAAGAGTTAAAATCGACAATTACTCAGAAAATTAAACAACATAGCTTCAGTTTATGAATTTTTTTTTCTAGTCATTTTAGTCGTGCATTTACAATATTTGTCATCTATCAAACTCAAATGCATGATGATTATTTGTAAGGAATATTTAACCTAAAATCAGTTTTCTACAATTACAAAAAAATCAAAGCTTTTCAGCTGTTTAAAAAAAAAAAAAAAAAAAAAAAAAAATATATATATATATATGAAACATTTGTACTTTTAATGTTACCCTCTATGACATACAAGACCTGATTTTTCTTTCAGTCAGGGAGGATAAGAACATGCTGTGCAAAGGTCACATCAGTGAACCTAATAACATCAAAGTGTGAGCGTGAATTAGGTCAGCAACTCACTTTGTGGCAGTCTGGCAGTTTGGACCGGGGTGGGCACCGTCGTCACTTCCAGCTCTGTTGCCCCTCCGTCCGTCTGTTTCTTGGTGGTGTGTACAACCTCTGTAGTCCTGGCAGGAGTGCTGTGACTGTCGGTGGTTTTGCTGTACTGACTTTGCGTTGTGGTGAGTCTTTGGGTCCCGGTGCTTGTTTCTGCCTGCGTAGTTGTGGCTTTTGTAGGAATGACCATCTTAGTTGAAGGCCTCTGCGTTTGGACTGCCGGGAGTGCTGCAGAGGTCTGCAGGGTCAGGGTGGGGGCTGTGGAGAAAGGTGAAGTGGATGGGACGGTGGTCTCTGTAATGGATTCTGTAGTATAGCTACTAGAGCTGCTGCTCAGCACTGCTGCTGATGTTGCTGGTAGGGAAGGAACAGTGGAGTCCATGCTATTGGTGGTAAAAGCAGTTGACTTAAAGGTGTTTTCTTCTGTTGTCTGTGGTCTGTTAAAATGAAGAGAATATTGATTAAATCTCAAAGTAGTTTTGTTTCTGAATTAACAAAATTTTAAATATGTGCAGTATCTTGCTAAAAAATACTTGTAGCCCTTAATCTTTTCTTCACTGATGTGCTCTAAGAAACCTCTGAGGCCTTCAAAGACCAGCTTTATTTATACAGAGATTAAATTTGACACAATCGGACTCCTTTTACATATTAGATTATTTTTGATCGTGACCGGTTTACATATTAGATTATTTTTTTGAAGGTAACTGAGAGGCCTGAATACAAATGAAAACTTTAAATTTTTATTTTCATCTGAAATAATGTGTACACCATGCATCATTTCCTTCCACTTTACTATTATCCACTACTGTTTTTCTACCACCAGCAGGGGGCGCAAATGCTAACTGAAATTGATTAGCTTCTGTGAGAACCAACTGGTAAAAATTTTTTTTTGAATTTTTACCTCTCGGTGGCAGTGACTGGTGTAGGAGTGAGGAAGACCCTGGTAACCGTCCTTGGCACGTTTGTCTGAGTCTCATCCACTTCAGAAGAACTGCTGATTGTTGAGGGCACTGATGTCAAACCTGAACCCACGCTATCCTCACTGGTTTGGGGTGAAAGGCCTTCTGTGCCTTCCTGGTTCTGAGTGTTGGGGCTCTGGGCTCCAGTGGTCATCTCTGTGGGCAATCCAGCACTGCTGCCAGAATCCTGATCCGTCCCAGAGGCATTTATTGGACCCTCTGAGTGTGAAGTGAAAGGAGGGGTGGAGGAAACAGGTGCGTCTGACTGATCAGTGCTGGGCTCTGTCACCCTGAGAGGTGGAGTTGAGTTAGATATCTCCTGAGATGTTAAAGAAAGCTGATGCTTTGTGGCGTTAGGTTGTCCGGTTAAACCCGGGGTTCCGCTGGCCACTGCTGGACCATTAGTTTCAGAAAAACTCCCAGTCACTCTCTGGTCTGTAGTTTCTCTCCCATCAGTCCTTGTAGACGGGGCGCTTTGAGTATAACCCTCGGTTTCCACAGGCCTGGGAGGGACACCCCAGGTGGACGGAGGCTGACGGGAGCTCGAGTCCTCCGTAAATGCCGATGAGGTGCTGTTGTTAGAGGAGGTAACAGAGAGCAGGGTTCTTTCCCCGGCACGGCTTACAGTTGTTGTGTAGGTTCTGCCGGTGAGTGTGCCGGTCTGTGACACCGAAGACGTAGCGTCCCCCAAACGGAGCGTCGTATCCGGACTGTCCTGGGACATGGTTTCATCCTCAGGAGACAGCCAGGGTTTGTCCTCCATGGACACAGAGTGGGAGATTACTGGCATCTGGTTTGTGTTAGTAAAGCCACTGCTACTACTGACAATGCTACTGCTGCTAGTACTACTGCTGCTGATGTTACTACTATTATTACTGCTGCTGCTACTACCACTACTAGTACTACTACTACTACTACTACTGCTGCTGCTACCACTACTAGTACTACTACTACTGCTGCTGCTACCACTACTAGTACTACTACTACTGCTGCTGCTGCTACCACTACTAGTACTACTACTACTGCTGCTGCTGCTGATACTACTGAACTCAGTGGTAGTTATAAAGGAGGTGGTAAGTGGCTTTGTGGACAGATTTGTGGCCTCAGGAAACCTGCTGCTTGTTTCTGTGAAGGCTCCTGTCTGCTCTGTGTCTGCAAATACAGAAAAAAAAAAAAAGAAAAAGCTAAAGATTAATTTTCTCATTGTGTGCTTTCTGAAACAATAAGACATAAACTTGTAAAGACTAAGCTGCACCAGGTTTGATCATCTGAGTAATCTATTTTTTTATCAAATTATCATGTAAATGTAATATTTTTTCCTAATACATTTGTCTTTTTTTTTAACATTATTAGTCAAACTTCTAAAATACATTACACTCCAGATTTTTCAAAGAAACCTGAATTCACTAAAACAAATTCATAGAAATGTTGTCATGATTTAGTAAAATCCTTGAAATTTTGGTTTCGCAGCCATTTAATAGTGCCCAATAGAGGGCGCTCAGCAGGAAGCCTGGGACCTGTGGAGAGAGCAGACAGCGAGAAGATGCTGTCAGGGTGAACAAAGTGTTTTGTATGGGCAGTAAATTTTGGGTGGAGAACAACTGGCAGCCAGTTTGTCTACTCCTAACAATGGCTTGAAGTCCTAAATATGGAAGTGACTGTCTCTGCTGGGAATCTGCCATTTCCTTCCTAAAGTTGAGTGAGCACAGGGCGATTGGCAGAAACCGGCAAAGCATGGATCTGGGCGTGTTTTCATTGTTCAAAGGTCTCTTTTAGGCTGGTTAAAAATGGATTGGTCACATATAAACTCCCCGAACACAACCAGAAACGAAAAGAATGTGACGACAAGGACGCCATTGCTGATTTGGGGACATTTTTGTGGCATTTTGAAGTTGACAGTTGAGAATCAAGGGCGGCATGAAGAGGAATGGTATGCAGCAAAGGTCCCCACCTAGAAACATTGTTCCATGTTGTATTTAAATTACATGACTCTTAGTATTACCCGCAGAGCATTATGGGGTTGACATTCAGTTAATTCATTACTTTGTTCAGAACACAAGATGAGCTGTAAATTACATTTTGGTTAGAGATGTACTTTTTTCCAGCTGAAATAACCCAGTAAATGTGGAACCTTAACAACTCATGACCTGCATGTCAATTAGCATTTTATTTATCTGTTCTGACGTTTACCAACTACTTTCCATTGTCCGCCAAATGCTCCACAATTATTGGCACCCGTGTTAAAGACGTGTAGCAACCCTCAAAATAAATGAATCTTTTATTGCTGCATCATATTCCAGCCTTTATTTTTACTATGATTAGTGGTATACCTCAACAATCCCTATGAAATAAACACATTTTTATTTGTTTTAGGATTTACCTCCCATAAATTGGCTGTGTGAAAATGACTACCTGCCTAAACTCACTTTGAGATATTTGTTGTACATTTGTGCTTTATAAATAAACTGAACCAAACCAAGGAAGACGAAATGGCTGAAAAGGGTCACTTAAGAAAACTACATCAATTTCTTGAGTATGAGATTGTGCTACTGCAACAAAATATTAATCTAATACAGGCTTTTCCAATATAATTACCCCTTGGGGTAACAACTAAACACAGTTAGTGGCCTGGCGCGAGTGAGATTTCTTTCTCTGCTTATCTCTCTGGTCTTGTGTGGTCTGACAGCCTTTTATCTGGTCTCCCTCCAGGACTGAGAAAAGGGGTTAGCGACGGTGCCACAAACGGCTCCCATACAAAACTTATATAAAAGGTGGATTCAGCAGCAGAACTGCCTGTCTGGTGGGAAGCTACGGGGATGAGAAAAGGGGTCATCAGACTGTTTTTCCCTCTGCATGTGTCACTCTCAATAATTCATTTTTTTTTTTGTCTCTCTCTGGATCCATTCTGGGAAACAAAACTAAGACTGGAACGTGGTGCTGGCAGAAAGTGATGGACACTCCCAGATCACTCTGCTGTTTATCTCTTCGCCGTTAACACAGTTGTCAGTGTTGTGTCTTCACATCTGACGTGCTTCCGGAACCGTTCTCTCTGGTTCAACATGTCCGTCTTCCTTAGTGACAGATTATTAAAAGTGCTGTGAATAAACAAGTGAATCTAAATTGCGCATACATTTTGTTGCCCGGTGGTTCAGCTGTGACCAGAAAGCTGCAAATGTTGATGGTCAGCTGCAATATGACCATGACCTTGAGGCTCTGTGTTAGTCATTTTAGTCTTCTCCTTCCTTGCAGCATCCATGCCTTCAAGCGCAGCTCAGAGTGAGGGCATCGGTGTTATGAAACGTTTTGGGACGGCTCCCACTTGGACCGAGTGTGACTGCATGAATCAAAGAGGGTGTTGGTGGGAATGTCTGAAATATCTCGCCAAACCCACACAGGCCAAATAAAACTAGAAACACATCATCCTGATTACCCGGCCTCAAAGAGCATACATAACAATAAAAATTGCCGTAAAAAGACATCAATGCGTTTAGCCTATGAAGAAATATTACCCAAAATAAACATACATCATTAAATAAGAAAGGCATCCAGATTTCAGCACTATTTTTGCTGCACAATCAGGGAGATCATTTTAATACCAAGCTGGACTATGTTAGGAATTCCTGCAATTTTTAATATAGATGTGAGGTTTAATTTAAGCCATATTTCATTTTCATCATCTGTATCCCCCTATCGCTACAAAACTTTAGCAGTAGGTGTGGACATCAAGAACAAGCATAGTCCATACACTTGGACAAATGTATTATTGACATGCAGCTAGAAATTATGGCTCTTGAAATACAATACACCCAGTATTTTAATGCTCTTTGTGATTAAAATATTGCCTACATTCACATTGCATAAATAGTTGCATTTTAATACTGTGTATTATACAGTTCTAGTTATCTTGTTTTCTAGTTATAAATACAGAAAATCTTTGAGAGGAAAGCTGGTTTTTATGTAATCTGGGATTGATAAGATGTATAACAAAAACATTTTTGACAATGTCTAATCTTAAATGAGACTAAAATTGACCTATTTTATTTTAGGTTTGCCAAACTTATTTTTATTTAGAGAATAATGAGAAAAATACATTTTTGGTGATTTTTTTTTTTAAACGTTACTCAAAGTCAGAAGTTTATAGACATCTTATTACCTTTTAAAACTAAAGACTTGGATCAACTATTTTGTGTACCCTTGCACATGCTGCAAACAATAATTTGCTGGATGTTTGGTCAATTGCTCCTGACAAAAATTGACTCGACTCGGTTGTCGACTGTGTCACTCACATGTCTTTTGAGCTCTACTCAGAAAAAAAAAGGCAAAAAAACTAACTTTCCAAAGAAACAAGGCCTTAGTCAAAAGAAAAAATAAATATAAAAAAGGTTTGTTGCTGTTATGATTTGGGTTACTATCCATTTGTGAGACCCATTTGTGCTCAAACTTTAACTATCTGGTTGATATCTTGAGATGTTGCTTTGATATTGATCCACAAACTGTATATTCTTGTGGTAGCAGCCATTTTGAATGTGCAACAATACCTCTTGCAGAAAATGACACTATAATGTCACAACCCCATATTTCACAGATGGGATCTTGTTCTGCAACTTGTATGTTTTCCCATTTTCCTCCAAATGTCACAGTGGTGATTATGTCCAAACACTTCAGTTCTACTTGAACCAGGCCACCACACAGGCCTTTCTCGTTGAGAGGACTTTCACTCAGCTACACTCTTTAAACACCTTCTTTAGTTCTTTTCTTGCATATAAGGTTTTGAACAGATAAAACTGCTATCTTCAGTCATGGAGGTTCAGAAATTTCTCCTGACATCATGGCCAATTTCTTTTGATTTTCCAATGGTGTCACACAGGAAGTAGTGTGAGTGTTTGAATTGTGCCTTCATTTAACTAAAATGTTTTGAATCAATTCACCAAAAGTTAACAAAGCCTTGATAACTGGCTTTCCAAGATTGCATTAAGGCATAATAATCTCTCTTGCATTAAATATAGTAGCAGAAAGTTTTGTAGAAAGTAGAAGGATCTGACACAGTATCCCATATTTGTTTTATTAGTCTGAAAACTAACTGTGAGCTTGATGATAGAATAAAATGCCCAATGGTTTGTGTGCAGGAAATTTGTCCCCAATTCCCTCAAAAGCAAAATAAATATATATATTTTAAATTATCATATGACTACATCTTCTGCATGTATAAAAGCAAAAACTCTTCAGGAATATGTTCTTGTGCGAGTCTTGTCTCTGCCAATTGACAGAGTACATAAACTACAGGGAATTAGAGTATGCTGCCCAGAGTGGAGTCATCTGAGGATGCTGCTCCGCATATTCATGATGTCATAATTGAGTTTCAGCTCTGTCTGCATTTTCTTTGTATTGGAAGAACTTCATCAAGTTCACTTACGGTACCTGAAAGGGACTACTTGCATAAACAGACACTTTATTAGTTAAATGCAAAACAAATTTCCTGCATTTAACTAATAATAGGGCTCAACAGTTTGCATACATTTTACTTCAAAACATACTTCTGAGTGCATTGGCAAAACATAATAGCATTCATGTAATATATGTTACATGCAGTTTTGGGGTAACGGGATACTCCTCTGAGTGACCTTTCAGCTCATGTTGGTACCAGTTATGTAGGTTTAACAAGTAAATGGCCACTTAACTAATTAAATGAGGGTGAAGACCCTCAGCTTGATAGCAAGTGTGACTTCAGATTTGCTGCTACACTGATTAAAGAATGTAAAAAACTTAAACCCTTTTCATTTATTTAATAATCTACACAGAGACATATCAGGCACACCATTCTGTTGGACACCACCAGGTGACTGAACGAACATCTTTAGCTAAATTCTAACCACATTTCTTTTTTTGTTAAATTTCTTATTAAAACAATGTGGTTAATTTACCTATTATTTACCATTAGACTTACAAGCTATACGACAAAAAAAAAAAAAAAAAATGGCGACTTCATTTTTGATATGACTTCTAAAAGTTTTTATTTAGTGAGAGACGTAAAAATAAAAATAAACATAAATAGGAGCAATTTGAGGACCACTTAATCAGTTTTTGATTTCTGTTTCTTTGTGGACAACACAAATAGAACCGGATCCAGCTTAGACAAATGCTATCATTATTCGCTCATTATTCATTATTTACGGTTTTAGTTCTGTTTTCTACATAAAAGACAGCTTTAAATTTAATTTCATTCGGAATTTAAAAACACTCTTTCAAAAACAGCGTGAGGACAAGAAAATGTATTGGCTCCGTTTTTATTTATTTAGCTCTGAAACAGGATAACTACCATTTATCACGTGTTTCGAGTGGTTGAGTCTGGAAGCAACACGCTCCCATGCTGTATCCTGAAGCTGTTGATCACTTTTGCATCACAAATTAAAAGCTACATTAGGAGATATGGTTTAACACTTTTGCATAATAAACTTTCTATTATCTGCCGGACTCTCGTTCTGTGATCTTACCGAGGTGCCCCGCGGTAGCAGCGTCGGTTCCAGCCGTGTGTGTGAGCAGGAGGTCCCTCTGTGATGGTGATAAACTCTCGCTGGAATATGAAGTTGAAGTCCCACCGTTTTCGGTGTTGCTGGGTTCATCTGTGCCCGCTGAATAATACAACCCGTCCGTTACCGAATTCGTGCTGTTGTAGCCGGGGGTCCCTGCCCAGAGGGGCCCCGGCAGACCCAGCACCGACAGAGAGCAGAGGAGGACTTGATTCAAAAACCACGTTTCCATGACTTTTTTTTTTTTTTGAAAGACCCCCGAAGTAGCGGCCGCAGATCGATTCCGCCAAAACGAGTGGATGCCCGGGAGTCCTCCACCGGGGACACCATGGGACGAGCGCTCCTGTTGTTGGAGAAAGTTTAGATGGGAAACGTGTGACTCCTGCTGGAGGTCCGGAGGAGATCCGTAGTTCTGCTGGCGGGGAGCGGAAGATAACAGAGCCGAAGCTGCAGCCTGTTATCACGGTGGAGGAGCCCGGGCTCCTCCTCCTCCTCCTCTTCCTCCACATACACACCAACAGATTCAAGTCTGATTACTGAGCTGCCTGCAGGTGTCAGAAGTAATACCCTCGAATGATTCCTAATAAGTGATGAAAGTGAGCGCTTTAGGTTTACACTTTAGAGTTTAACAATGTTTGAATAGTTATATTGAAGACAAAATGTGGGGGGAAAAATGAAAGCATCATGAGTTCATGATATCTGAAGTGAGGTTATATTAAGACATTATAAGCAGTGAACATCTTACTGACATAGCAGCCTTGGCATCCGCTTTTAGCACAAAACCAGATAAGTTGGATCTGAAGGTTGAGGGCCAAGATCAAAATGTGTTGAGGGATGTTATGTAAAATCAACTTTTTTTTTAGCTTTGTATCATGATATAATGTTATCCCCTCATACCTGGAGTGTTTTAATTCTTTCATGCATGTTTGAAAAATCTTTGAACTTCCCATGACAGCCATTTGAGGGTGCCTACTCATTTGAAAGCACAAAGCCCTGCTTATTTACCCCCAAGCTCCATGATCATTTTATGGGTAATAAGGCTAAACTAAAAAAAGTATTCATTAAAAAGAACTAATTTCTGGGATTTACTTGGTGTAAAAAATTTCTATTTTATTTGATTTATAAATACTCTTGCTGGACACAGGCCTAAACATACAATCTCGGTTTCAATATCTAAATTACGCCATTATGTGTTGGAACAGTCCGCCTCTAACAAACAACCAGATCTGCAATATTGCCGCCTATAACAAAGCATATTAACGTGTTAGAATATTACAAAGTTCATATGTAAATTCAACTGACAGCCTTCGGAAAGACTGTATATCCAGTCTGACCAAGTTTGAGCTACTTTTTAGATCCCAAATGAGCAAAGCTGGTAGAGACATGCCCCCAAAAGCTGTAATTGTAGCAAAAGGTGGTTCTACAAAGTACTGCCTCAGAGCTGCTGAATGCAAACCCTGTTGAAATTTTGATTTGCAAAACTAATAAAAGGTTCTATAATTTTCTTTCCTCTTAACTTTGTGTTGGTCCTAATAAAACACATTGAATTGTGTGGTTGTAACGCGACAAAATGTAACAAATTCAGATTCTCAAGAATCTGTTCTCGATTCTGATCAAGAACAGATTAATAAAGACCTAAACAAGAATGACAAACATTTCCAAGAGGTCACAAACGTAATGGTGACACATTTCTGACATTATATCAGGTCTTACTGGGTAAATGGTCAAAAACATAGGTGGCGTAAAAAGACTTCCAAATAACACTATCTTTTAAAGTATAAAAAACAGCAGTTATCTTATCTGACAACACTGAGCCAAAACATCCTGTGGTTTAAAGGTGTGCAAACTGACGTGTCGGGTACAGATGGCGCCTCAGCTGCAGCAACGCTATCGTCACAGCAATCTGGGACAACAAGCAGTCAAAAATCTCAAAACAACAGGAACCAAATATTTACTCTCAAGATGACATGCAATAAGGTATTATTGTGCTCACAGATCATCATGTGGCTGCTGTTGAGACTAAATATGACAGGAAGAAGGAAGAGGTGACATAATATACCTCTGCCAGCACTGCAGCTCAAGATCTACCTCAACCGCATCATGCAACCTGAGCAAACAAGTGGAATATCGTCATAAAGCATACATGTTCATGTGTGTGTGTTCATAATATGTAAGCAGAAGCTTGTGGTTGGTATTTGTATTTTGTCTAAACTTTACAAAATAATCCATGTGCCCTAAGATATTTTTGTTTCAAACTTGATTTTTCTGAAGAAGCAGGTTGAATATAATACGATTTTTGTGCTCTTTCAGTGAAAAAACATGGCTTTTCAAAATAAAATGCATCTTGCTGTGAATGATCTGAATATGAGTGTAAATCATACACATTTATTGTAACGTCACAAAACATTATGTTGGGCATATCAAACAACACAATTTTGAACAAAAATAAATGTCTATGTAAACTTAATTTGAAAACAAATGAATAAATGTGACTTTGAGCACCTAGATATATATTTACTCCTTCACCTTTTGTGCAATTCTAAGAAAAGCTGAGCTGTTCTTTCAACACTAATCAAAAATGACCTGAGGCACTTAAAGTCTTTGCTACATAGGAAACATGCAAAATGCAGCAGCACGAGGCACACTTTGTGGATTGAGGTTTTCAGTCATGACATAGAACTAAGTCAGAGTTCAAGTGTGTCACTGGTACGGTGGTTGCACCATTGTGTCGGCTTGGATGAACCGAGATTGGTGAAAGCGGTGGCGAGAGGAAAAGTCAGTATTGTCCTCAGTCAGTTGCTTGGTTTGGAGGCCGATTCCGGAGAGAGACGGCGTCACCACCATCTCATCCCGGGGAGATCCTCTCTTCCTGGAAGATAGGAAAGTGAGAATTTAAAACTTGAAAATGTTTTGAAGAAAGGAATAACTAAATTCACTGACATCTTAAGTGTGAATTAACATTCTCTGAAATACTGCTCCCTCTTACACTCTCTGTACAGATGTTTAAAATGCCACAAAATAAGCTGTTATTTAGAGACACGCTAAGCCCGAGACCTCAGTCTTTGCTGTGGTCCTCCTACAGTGAGGTTTTGAGATTTTTACCATCCTTCTCCCTGAGGGAGCTGGAAAATAAACTTGGGTCTCTTGTCAACCCTTGTTTGTCACAGCTCCGGTAGTTTTAACATTTTTTAATTAATGCTCTGACTGTAAATATGGGTAACTTTAAATAGTAGTTTGTGGTTACTTCTTTCAGTCCGTTAGGCAGCAATGAGCTGCCCTCTCATTGCAACAAAGAAGTCAGTTCTGGACATCCCTCTTCACCTATCTGGATACTTTGAACTCACTCCCAGATATTCTTCTCCCCATCTGTTTTGACCTCCTAAATTTTGTCCTTCCATGAGAGTTCCCCTCTATCTCTTTTTCTTCAAATAATCATTTGAAATAAACATTTGAAAGTCAACAGTAAAACCACACAATACCTGCATAGGTTGCCAAGAATTGACTTCAGCCACCTGAAAAAGCTGAACTGAGCTGCAATACCTGCAAATAAATCAAAGTAGGAATGGTTCAACTTTGCCTTGAGGGAAATAACTTTTTGGACCTCAGTTATAAGATTTTACTGAACTTCAAAGTGTTTCAGAAAATCTGCTCCGAGACGAGCAGATTTTTCATCATCCACCTGTGAGACAAATCTTGACACCGGAGCTTGAAAATGTGTGGAGTCAGTTAGCCAACACGTGTTGCACTGCACAGATACAGCTTTTGGAGAAATCCTAAGCCACAACAGCTGCAAAGCTGCTGTAGGGAGAGACTGCAAGGGAAGCCTAAAAACAGAGGCTGTTACTATAGATAAATATTAACTGAACATGGAGGAGCCATTTTAAATGCATCCAGTTTTCCCTCAAGTTAAGTATATGAGATTTGAACATTACAAAATGTTTTAATTTTAAGCAACATATCAATAACTGACCTTTTTATACTCATAAGTAAAATATACACATTAAAGGAAACAAAAGGACTCATTTGAAATCCCAATGGCTAAATCTGTCGACACCCTTAGTGAAAAACATTTTAAAAACAATTAACTTTAATTGCGATATCATAATTTCTGATTTTAGGCAAGTCTAAATGATGTACATTTGTTTGATATGGAAAAAAGAATCATATGGTTAAAAAATATCTTTCTGTATTCTTTGACTTAAATGTAATCAAGACATATTATTTTAATTTATACAGAGTTTATAGGAACTTCTAAAATATGACCTTCAGTTTCCCCGTTCAACGAAAAAGTGCTCTCAAATTAAAGACTGAAGTCTCGATAGATTTCTATACAAGATTACCACTGAAATAAAAATATTAATTTTGTTCAGGCTGGTTCCATGTCTTAACCAGTCATGCCACATACATACAGACTAGCGTCACAAAGTCACACACAGATAAATGAGCTTACAGACATTACCTGTAGGTAAACCAGGACTTGTTTTCCCAATGTAGAAGAAGAGCAGCAATGCAACCAGGATGTTGGCTAAAGCATAAGCCCACTGAATGATAAACATTATCAATATGGAACTCATTGCCTGCAAAAGAAAATGTTCAGATTAATCATTAATTGTAAAGTCATTTGAAAACAGATTATGAGAACAGGAAAACTGTAATTAGCTGCATGTGTTGATGTGTTTTACCCCAATGAGGGCAATCCAGTGGTTACATAACTTTGTGTAGAAGGCATCGCGCATGGGTTGAATTTCAAAGTGTTGCTGCTCTGGTTTTTCTTCATTACCTGAAAGATTAAAGGTCAGTACAAACAGGACAAGGTCACTTCTGTGTTAACACTTGGTCTCAGTGAATTACGCACCTGCATTGTAAAGATGAGTCTCTGCAGGTGAATCTTGCTGTGCGTCACCTGTCCTAGTGTGATATTTGATTTCAGGTTGATCTCCAGCCCTGAACTCCTCATCTCCACTTTGCCCTTTGTTCCCCTCCTCGAGTGGAGCTGAGCTCTGCTCCCCTCCGTTTTCATTTGAGAACATGTTGCTGTTCAGATCCAGACCAAAGCTGTGCATCAGTCTCTGCTTGGTGGCAGCCTTCCTACTCTGAGATCCGCTGCACAGATCCTTCCTCGGAGTCATCTTCTCTGGTTCAGGATCAAGTTTGGAGACAGGTGGGAATATCTGGTCCATATCCCTATTGAACTCCAACAGAGTCCCTTTTCCCTGCGGACTTTCGCCTCCGCTCCCATAGTTGGGGGGAGGGGATTCAATCAGAGGCCTGGAGCTTTGCTTGGTCGACCTGTGCCTGCTTCTGCTTCCTGAAATGATCTGTCTCTTCTGTTTCGATTGAAGCTGGAAGGTCATGGCCACACAAAAGTAGGAGTAGTCAACGAAGCTGTAGGTGAGCATGAAGTTGATGGTGACAATTGGTGCCAGCACATTGACCCGACCAATGAAAATGAATGCCAAGGTCA